GGGGTCGCAATTGTGGTAGGGAAGGAGGAAAAACGGTCAGGTGAGCCATTGACCGGAGGTCAATTATCCCGCGGGGGCGTGGGAGTGAGACGTTGAGCTGGTGTGTGGGGGGGGTTCGTGCTTTGTCACGGTGCAAGGAGGAGGATGCGCGCCTGGATTTAGTCTAGAGTTATGCGATGTACAGTTTCGCAGCGAAACATAAGGACGTGGAGCTGACTGTCTAGCAGCAGCATCTTGTTAAGGTTCATGCTGGGCGGAAAACCCTTCACCGAGGCTTGCACGAACTACTGCTGATAACTGATGTTGAGTATGGATCATGAGCACGACAGGGAAGGCAAGCATAGGTCAGTCAGTCACTGTGTAATATCATCCGACAGTAATCGCAGAGGCCCCGATAATATACGCGTAACTAGTACATGTCTTCTTTCGCATGGATTTCAATCATCAACTACCCCGCTGGGGCATGGAAGATCGACGCTGCCTCCTCCGAAAGTCCATAAACTCTCAGGACGAACAAAAATTACGAAGGAGGACGAAGCACGCATGGCTCATCTGGAATTTGAATCCAGTTTGAACGCTCATCAGAAACAGGACAAATAGAGAGTGAATTGTTGTAGATTACCATTCATCTTGTGCTTATGTACGGGGTTATGACTGACAGTTTTGCAGGAGGGGCGGTGTGAGGCCGATCTCGACGTCTGTTCCCCCGACGCCTATGTGCCGAGTGAATGAAGGAATAACTCCAGCCGCGGAGTAACACCAACCCGGTGCAAGTGCATCCACTGAAGGTCCACTGTCTGAGGCCCAACACGGACCGGGAGAGCTTCAAATCAGGACGTTTCTCTCTAGAGTAGTCTTAAGGCCAGAACTTCCGGACCCAGAGTAGATAAACGCTCAGAGGGGGAACGGCAGTCATGGATATCCACCCACTTTCATCATGGTCGGAGAATGCGGTCCACTGTGTGATCCTCATTCTCACGAACGGCTGCTCTGCTAGAGACCCGAGTCTGAAAGACGGACGTATGCCAGGATCTGCACCCAGGAAGTTTTGATTTCCGCGCACGGATAAATTTGTAGGTGCTGATGGCGGTTGATACGGCTCGGAGATGGTGTGGGCAACAACTCCATTCGTCCTAATCTGCCCGAGATAGGTGTCGTTTGCAACGGCAGTCGATGAGTAATGATACTTGCTCACTCGGGCTTGGTAAACAGTGTCTGGAGTGTCCGAGTCGAATCTAGGTCGGGTTAGTCGGGGACAGTACTGACAAAGTTCTGGTCCTTCGCAATAGAGAATGTATAAAAAGATTTTTGTTTCGAATCCGCGAAGAGTGAAAGACAATCAGAAAACATGACGCATACTTAGTCATCCAAAATCATGTTTCCTTCTTCCCACTGCAAGGATAGCATCAGGTCTAACACTATCCCACACCACACGCATCACACTCCGCGTTGGATTTAGCTCTCTTGTATTTGCCTGGATCTATCGCGGCAGAACACGGGCGAGCGGGGACAAGTCAGCACCGAACAGCTAATGACTCGGCTCGAGAATCGACATGATGTTGCACCATTAACAATGATTAAAGAACAAATTGACGCTGTACATACTACTTCCATATTGGAGATCACTGATCTTGTGTGTCCGTGTGGTGCATCAAGCGAACGAAGGCCTATGCGAGCTTCTTGAATTGAACCCTCCATACGAAAGGACCCAGTCGAACAGCGAAAGGCACTCTTGTCTGGAGTGCGTGAAAATCCTGTCCTCTCGATAAATCTCCGCCTCCTCACGAGAAAACATGGACCCGTAGGTGCCCCTCTGTCTATGTTTCTGATTTCGTATGTCTCGCGGCACCAAAGAACCGGCGGGGCGGATGAACTTGGACCCGACGCTTGGCCTCAGCTTCGAACATATGCATGACGCTGTATCCATATCAGATCTACTGTGCCTGTCGGTCTGCGTGAAAGGACCAGCACCACAGCAAAGAGTGGAAGACGTATGCCAAGGAAAACAAACTCGTAGATAGCGTCGCGTGTTCGCCGGCGCGGGATGGTCCTGATGGCGTAAAAGAACCTATGTTCAAGACCTTACAGAGGCAGATGGAGAGAGGATTTAGGGATTGATATCGGAGGGGGAGTGGGTGTATATTTCAGGGTTCAAAGCTTTATCTCCTTCCTTCGCTCCTCAATTCATGGGATTTGGCTTTAGATCATCAGATAAAATGCCTGCAGCGGTGAAGGATGCCCTTCGGCATTCTGTGGCCAAATATAGACGTCCAAGCACAGATGAGACGGGGGAGTATGTGAAGAGAATGGAGCTAGAAGAAGCTCAAGGAGAAGTATTGGAGCTGAGATCAATATGTATAGCTCCTGGATAGTGCTTCGTCGTAGAGAAAGCATCGTGATCATGCAAGGCTTACGAACTATTGCGGGCCTTCTTTATCAAACGCACCTCCTACTCAGACTCAGAATGGCGACTTGAAATCATATTCCGGGACAAATAACTCAAATTTTGTACGTAGAGTTAAGCCTAACGATCTTTCTAGCATTGACTTCAGCGTCCAGTTTGGCCAAGGCTTAGACCAGCGATGGAGGAAGCCGTCTTCTTACTTCTTGTGCGACGCGCAGCTCTTTCCGAAGGAGAGGGAGCATCATTGGTAGTTGTGGGAGGACCATTGACAGCAGAACTCGTGCCTCGTCGTGAAGTCCTTTGTCGTTTTGTGATGGATTTTATCTGCAGCTCCCGGCCGTCCTCCTCTGATTCCGAAGGGAACTGAATGCTGCCAATCGGAAAAAATGTCGAACGTGTCCCGTTCAGGAAATCAACAGGTACTGTAGAATCATCGTTCCACGTGGTAGAAAAACCCACGAGCCGCCGGAAATCGAACTGGTCTTGAGCCGATGTCGATAACAAATCAAGGGCATTATCGTCATATTTTGCCAACTTTCTCCCCGCATTCCACCCTGGACAAAAGGGGCTGACATGGCTCTGCAACTGGTTGCGCAACTCTGGTTGATGGAAGGGATAGAAAACGTCAGTTCGCTCTTGTGTCTGCTTGTATTCTTCCTCAGATTGCTGTAGAGTCCAACAAGAGACCATATACTCTTTTGACAGTTTGAGGGAGAAGGATTGAACTTGGATGGACTTTTCTTTATAGTCAAAATACTAAACCATATGTCATCCAGAACCAATCTCTCGGTGAAAATTGGACCTCACCATTTTGGCCGGCTTCTTGCGTTTCTCAGCGTTGGGTAAGAGTGTAAAGTCATGTATGGTCTTAATGGCCTCCTGTGATGGTACGAACATGGCATAATTTCTGTCTAATATGTTGTGGTATTCCAGACACACTAGGAGTAGACGCTGTCAGTTAATCGCTGGGATAAAAGCACTGTGTTTACATTCTAAGAGATTACAGTGAGTGTGCAAGTTGAAAGTATTGGCCTCGAATCCCCAGTGATATTCGAGAGCACGAATCCAGCGGCCCGCTTAACAGACCAGAGAGATCGCACAAGGATTATTCACTTACTGCATCTGTATCACTGGATAATGACTTGTCGATAAGATGGGCAAAGACCACCGCAGTACCGGTAGTATTGACTTTTGCCGTCAGAACGCAGAATCCTCCGTACTTGGCAGCCTCACGGGCCCAATTTTTGGAGTCTTGGGATCTGATTTGTATGCGACGTTGAATTCAGGAGTGGTGTCTAGAATACAATACAGAGCCAGCTCCTTTCTAGGGGTGTATGAATGATCCATGTCTTTCTTGCTTTTGCACTTCTTGAGCAATATTGTTTCCTCTTCAGAAGTATCTTCTGGCTTTTCAACCCCTCATTCAATTCACATCCTTTGCTCAAGAAGGGAAGCCCTCTGGGGTTATGGTGGCATCCTTTACTGAGGACTCTTCTTAGCTTGGTGCCTGGGGTCTTCAGCACGGTGATATCAACAAGTATTTTGCCATGGATGATAACACTTTGCAGTGTATGTCCCTTTTGGCAGCAATTCTGACTGCTACTAAAGGTTTTATAGTGGATTCTTCCTTGCTTGATTCATTCAAAGAGTCTCATTGGCTCTTGGCTCCCAGGGGAGAATCCCTTGATCATATCATTGACTGCTATGCTCACAACCTCAAGAGGAATGCTCCTAGTTGCACACCTTTCTATGAGGTAGACTTTAATATCTTTTTCCTTGTGAGTGTCTAATTTGCATCACAGGTGTGTTGGAATCTGCAAGAGTTCAAGCAATCTGGCATTCTGGCATGATGAGTAAGGAAGGAATCCAAGGGAAATTGAAGGAATTAGGTAGAAACTACTAGAAAAGGAGTAGTCTAGTATAAATATGAGAAGTCAATGGGGAACTCCTCAGGAGTTTGTAACCCAAAGACTAGAGGTCTTACAAGCATATACTCTGGATACAGTCCAAATCTCAACAGTGTGCCCTCTTGTGAATGAGAACATAATGAGGCAGTTGAGAATGTCTTTGCTCCATTCCTGCCAATTGTTCACTTTTTTGTCAAGGTTTCTGGCAGTGAAAATGTTAATGAACAACAATCTCAGTCTTCACTCATAATGGTGGTAAAAGACTGATATTTGAACCTGTCAATGAACAACAATCTACCAGTACAATAAGTAATCAATATGTAGCAATGTAAGTAAAATATGCGTCTCAACCTTCACTCATAATGATGGTAAAAGACTGAGGTGTGAACAAAAGGAAAATGGATGGAAGTAAGTATGGAAATGATCAAGCAAAAATATATGAACTTGTAAATAAATTTAGAACAAACAGACCAATAACCTGATCAACAGGCATATAGCTGAATCCTCAACAGAAAAGGGCTGTTTGAATACTGACAACAAAGAGAGAGGGTTTTGTGGAATCAGTGGAGAGTGGACTCATAGTGGTGGAAGGAGGGCTTGTAGCTGGAGATTGATCAGGGGGTGTCATCAGTGGCTCAGTGGCTCAGTGGCTCAGTGGCTTGGAGTCCAAAGAGGCAAGTTTAAAAGAGATTCTTGTAGGAATCAGTTGTGTTGATGATTTCAAGTTACTTCAGATTCAGATGATCACTCTTGACTTAAAGTTTGAGAAATACATCCATAACCTGTGAGAATCTAGACCTATGATTGTATAACTACAGGATAGTAAGTAAAGGATAGAGTGATGAGAATACTAGGTGCTCACCTCAGTCTCAACATGGGGGTACATAGACAGAGTGAGGAAAGAGACAAAAACACAAGATACACTAAATTTCAGGCCTTACAATGAAGAATACAGTAACGAGTGAGACATGAAGATAATGGCTAGACTGGCTAATAGTAAAAAATCAAGAAGATGAGTCAGCAAGTATGTGTCAGTGGTACTAGTAGGTAGGTGTTACTTGGTTTGTAACACAGTATATCTTCTATAACTAATGGACCAGCCTAATAGTAGTAAGAGATGAAAGTCTGATACTCCACTGCACATCTCACTGACAAATTTAGATATCTTCCCCTTCTTGATCCGCTCTTGACTAGTTAATGTCTGATCCTTGAACACTACGGTTCTTCAAGCAGTTACGTGCCAAATGACCGTGTTCTCTGCAACGGAAGCAGAGGCCCCGTCTGCGCATCTTTGCAAGATCCATATTCCCTCCATCAGGGATGTCCTCCCTATCACCAACTGATGATCCTTCTCGAGCGGTCCCCTTCCCACTGTCTCGTCGCGCCTCATTGGCAATCCGGCTCTCCCAGTAAAGGGCATCGAGTTGCAGGGCAGTTTTCTTGTAGTCTTCGTATGTCTCCGGCCAGATAGCGCAGCACAGTTTAGCGAGGCGCAGTTTGCGTCGGAGACCAGGATTGAGCGCCCGCATTAAGTGCACAATCAAATCTTTGTCGCGCCACTCTGTTTCGCACTGTACATCTTTCCGAAGACCATCAAACTCAATGAAAAACTCCTGCGCGGTCCTTCCCCCTTGTCGAATCGTCTCCAGCTTGGCTTCCGCGTTCGCTATCAGGTTTGGATCCAAAAAGGCCTCGTCAAGCTTGTTGATAAAGTCGGTGTAGATTCCGACTTCAAGTCGGTCGTCGACAGTGTGATCGTCCATATAGCTCTGGGCCCACACTCCAGCTAATCCGTCTTCCATGTAGGATAGGATGAACAAGATCTTGGATTTGTCATCCAGATATTTCTCATACGCCGCCAGACGCAATTGTATGCTTCGTCGAAATTTTCTGTATTCGACGCATTGCCCTCTGAATGGCTTTGGCTGTCTTAGGCCTATCATCCTAATAACAATAACAGATCAGAGACATCAGCACTACGACGGGAAAAGAGATGCTTACTTTCCGGCTGATGATGATGATGGTGGGGGGTGAGGAAGAGAGGAAGAAAATGGGGGATCTTAAGGGTATGGTGTCGTATACATGTGTTGCCCACGATGTCGTGCAGTGAAGTCCATGGACAGGCCCATGAAAGGATGAAGTCAAGCCTTGGGCCTCATACTTGAGGCAACAACGAGGGTATGAGGTGGTGTTACAACAAGGACCCTAACCCACATGCAACGAGCGTGTTTGGAGCTCCTCCGTGAGGAGAAGCGAACAGGTGACCAAAGCAATCCTAGCTGTGGGTCTCTCTCGCATGGTTGCGGACTGCTGGTCTGACCCAAGTGGGCGACGCTGACATTACGAGAAGACTGTTCAGCGTTTCCCGTCGCTTGATTACAGTCATTCCACGTCTTCTTGAATCTGCAGTCGTCAGGCTTCGGAACCTTTAAACGTGTTGAAAACGCACGCATGGATCCAGGTGTTTTCCCCTTCCCGCCACATGTACGAGGTAGTTACTTGGATGCAGGCCATCCTCAGAAACCAGGGCCGCAGGTTTTGTAATGAATAGAACGAAGTCTTTGCTCCTCGCGCAGCGTAGGTTCCTCGATGCAGGTCATGTTGGTGTGAAAGAAGATAAAAGGAAAGGCGAGCATCGTTCGTATTTGGAAAAGGACGACAGGGAAGGAAGGTCCAGGCCTCTATTCCTCTTCATGCTAGACTTGTACGTACAAAATTAGATATCTTAGCAAATTAGGAGCAAAATTGGGGTACGTATGCATGTAATGACGAAGGTGTAATAGCGATGGTAGGCATTATTACCAGTTTGCGACTCGACATGATTATTGACTTTGCGTGATGAAAGATTATCCGGTCGAGTATATTCAGGAAATAAAGATCAAGGCAATGCAATTAAGAGAAGAAGACAAGACGTCAAGAATTCATTGGTCGATTGGCTGACAAACGGTTGGTTGGACCGATTTGAACACTGTGTTCCTTCATACTTACCGGGTTTCTAATAAAACTCTACTTACGGTGGAGATGGTCGAGAATCTGGTCGTTTCGTACCGAGGGTCGGAGAAGATGCGGCCTCTCGCGTATCCGAGTCAGTCCACTTGTGGCGGCGCATCAGGCTGGTGGAAGTGGTAATGAGCAATATCCTGCTGATTGATGAGTATACTTGAGGTAAGCGAGGAGATTTGTGTGAGTCTATCAGTCAGGAACAGTTTCAATTCAAGTCATTCTGGTTGTCAGGGGTTCCGGACGGAGGGAAGGAACATAGATCCTAACATGCACAAATAAAATCTTCATTCTTTGCTTTGCAAACATTTGAAAAGATGAATTACGACTACGCATTCTTAGCCCTGAGGAACATTCCTCCTCCGAAATACCTGCATTCACCTTCCTGCGCCTCGTTACCTGTATGTTCAATATACTCCTTCCTGCTGATCTCCACGAGGTCCGAAACGCTGCTCAGATGAAACTCGGTGGATCGTCTCACCCTCTTCCTGGCCCCCTCACCGTCACTGTCCTCATCCTCGTCGTCCTCTCCCTCAACAAATTTAAATGCCGATATAACCGACTTGGGCGTGACAGACTCGGTCCACGCATCATACGACGAGTGCGTGCTTTCACGCAGGATCATCGGGACGAGCGATACATCGAATAGAGGACTGAGCGCGGCGTATATGGCAGCGTCAACCCCCTTAAGATGCTCCTTACAGATGCTAGATTTCCGATAGAGGTGGCGCAGTGGGATGCCTATCTCTTCTGTACCGCTGGCGACGACTTTCTGGATCGCGTCAACGAGGGCCTGGACATTGCTAGGAGAGGAGGAGGGGTACTCAAGCTCGTTGTCATGAGGAGAACCAGGCCGATAGTCCTCCCCCATGAAATCCATCCGTGATTTTCCTCTCACAACATCGAGGGTCGTGAATTCATACTCCCCAGGAGTATAAGCAAGGTTCGACGAGCCAGTTTCAGGCGTACAGACGAACACATCGTATTAGAGAATTAAGCGTACACCTGACGTCACAGGATCAACTTTATGCTCTACGTCAGTGTAGAATGCCACATCTTTGAGATTGATGTAGGGTTGGGGTTCAGAGGCGCCAGTGATTTTGGGATGCATGTCCACAGCCATCTCGTTGCCGTCATGCCGGAGATGGAATGCGCCGCCTGACCAGGATGCGTTGAGCGCGACCAGGACAGTGGCATGGTGGTCCTTCCCATGGGTCGAGTCGCGGTGCCAGTCAAAGTGCCCACCCTCATCGTACATCGCGAGCTTGTGGAGCTCTGCATCAACCTCCTTGCCCACGAATAGGGTCGCCTCAAGGACGGTCTTGAGATCAAGGAGGAAGTGGAGAGAGGCAGTGTAGCTGGACTCGGATGGGCAAGTGATGTCTTTTCCAGGTATCTCTCGTCCATCGCGGTAGGTGGGATCTGTGACTGTTTGGTCACCCCTGCCGAAGGAAGATGGCTGGCTTTGAGCGCGGATGGCATCGACGTTCGGGGAGCCAAGAGTGCCAAATGGCGTGCCATTTGGGCCTCTGAACTCGGAGTCGCCGTTGAGGTAGTCGAGGGTGAAGGAGACAAAGGGATAGGAGACGACACTGTCCAGAGCCTTTGAAACAAGTGAGTCGCGCTTCACCACGAGGCTTTTGTGATGTTCTATCAACTTTTCAATGCTCTTGCTGACCTGTACGTAGGTCAGAATAGCATGTTCGGTATTTTGGGGGGCAGACATAAATGTAGAACAATGGTAGCAACGGCGTTCAAAAAACAGACTCAGTGTATAATGGCATACGTAACGCACGTGCAAGTGCCGGCTTTCGAGATGTCATATCGTCGATAAACGGCGATAATCGTATTTATCTGGAACTGAAATAGTTCACATTTCAACACCGTATCTCTATTGTGCTGCGATGATTAATCTGCTTCATCAGTGGCCAGAGTCTCAGCCGAATATTCCGCATAATAGTCTTTCAATCATCGTATTCCAGCTGATTTCTACCTCAAAACGCTCCATCTCCTGCTCCAGCCAATCTTTCGTATCACAATCTTCCGGTGTACCTCCTTGGCTTCGATGACTTCATTACATGTTTTTTTTGGCTGCTTTTACCTCGTCGCTGCAACTCCAGTCCAGTCCTAGAGTGGATGATACGAGCTTTGGCACGTCGCCAATGCTAATATTTCCTTTGCCGTCACGCGGCTGTTCCAATTACGATTGCCAACTACGGCTCGACCGAAAGCGGTGTTCACTAAAACAGTATCTCATTAGTTATTCTGATCATATTTATCAACCTGGGTCGAATCTATATCTACTACAATATCGAGCTCGTGGGTCCATACCTTTTCAACTTCTGACCGTGTTACTCAATCCTTTTCTGCCATTCGAAAATATTCAGCGCTTCAGCTGCTCTCCTTGTAGCGGCACCATGTCATGGCCATGACCAACGCCTTGACTATCGAAAATGTGCTATACCGCTTGGAAAGCTTCCTTAGTCTCCAGCCATCGACGAGAAACTGCGGCGAGTCATCGGAAACATTCGTACAGGCACAATGCCTAACTCGCCGGAACTCCCAGGAAATGGTGCGACCAGGCGGGAACAACTGTCAGACGATGGCACCTCGGAGGACTGGATATAGGTGTTGGTGATGCTAGAAGATAGTACAGCAGAGTCCGCGCGCATCGCCTTTCCACATCGTTTGTGAGGACGTATCATTCTGTGTTTCTCTGGGACTTTTCGTTCTTCCACCTCTCTCCATTCTATCTTCGATTCCGTTCCCGGGTCTCGCCGTCAAGTTCATCCACGAACCAGCATCGACCATCCTCCTGAAGACACAGAGGTGGTCCCAGACCAAATACATCGAGGCTTAATGTGCATCCTGCACAATGACATCCACATCGTCGCACCGCCGAATACCCAGCCATCATCGATATCGACGTCGGATTAGCTCTGATTCGAAAGCCCCCACCGAACTGAAGCTCATTATCCGTCAGGATTTTGACAACCGCTCTCATGGATCAGAGAGGGAGGAGGTCAATGTCGGATTACACAGAGTCGTTCCAGACGTTTTTGGATTTCAATTGATACGTCGAAGAGAAGCCAGAGGGTTATCGGGAGGCAACTTTCGAGCGGATATCTGACACAGACTCGGATGGAATGGGAGAACTGGATTTTCAGTCGCGCATATGGCCAGAAGGACTGGTCCAAGTCTAAGCCAAACACTGCGAATAACGACCTTCTGGTGGCTTCCTTTCTAACTTCACCCGTTCTTCCCGTATCCACATCGGCCACCGTGCTCCATCTGATCTCCACATCAAACCGCTTCATCTCAGCCGCCAGCCACATTTCCGCATCGTACGCTTCCGTCGTTCCATCTTCTCGTATGCACGTGCAGTCCTGTACTTTTCCTACGTCCTCTTCTTCCCAGCTATATTGGACAAGTATCGTCCTCACAGATGCGCCTGGGCTGCGCAGCACACTCTCGAAGACACGTACAAATCTTCGCGGACTGCGCCGACATCCAATCGTAGACGTTGAAGAGATGGGCATTCCGCTTCTTCCCCAAAGCATCCCAACCGATAGCCTCGTGAGCTCCTTATCCATAGGAGCTTGTAGTTCCGGCGCGTCCTCGAGTACCTGTTTTTTAACGACGTCGAATGGAATGAAGTAACCTCTGAGCTTGCAACGACGTCAACAAGTAATCAATGAAGACAGGAAATCGTGCCGTCTCTTGGCGCCACGTTTCTTTCGTAGGGGCAGGTGCCTCAAATTTTATCGTAGTCATCTATCGAGGTGAGTGATAAAGAAATTGTCTTCGTAACGATGGCTTGATATTTACTTAGGCTTACTTCCTTCGTCAGGATTAAGGCAGAAAATCAGTTGAGGTTTTAAGACGGACTCAAATTCACCGGTGTTTTGTGCTGAGAAGACTGGGCCTCGGTGTCTTGCCTAGAAGCTTTGATAACATATAGTAAAATCCATCACGTTATGAACAGACTCGTGTCGCGTCTCATCAGCGCAGGATCGGCGGGCTTCTTGTACCGTAGAGTCTACGGACTTGTACGGTGTCATCTCCTGTTTCGGTGTAGTATTTTCTCAGCTGCTGTCCTATTTTCATACCTTAATGGGAGGCTTTTTCAGTATGAAATTAGAACTTACCCAGGACAAGCAGCACAAGGACAATTTCACCATTGTTCGCCATATTTAGGAAGGGCTACCTACCTCCGGTCAGAGGCCAGAGGCTTGAGGGGTGAGTCTGGTTTCTAGAGAAGCGAATTCTGATCAGTGACACGCCGAGAGTTGTCTTTTATGTAAGACAAATAAAATAAATGGCACTTGTCGTAGCCTATCCCTGAAAGAATCGCCGCCTCGCATGAAGCCAATCGGAAACCCGGGCCGGAACGTCAATGCTTGTTTTTACGAAATCGATTGGTGACTTCGTTCCAAGGTAACCCGTCATGGTAGACGAATACCTGAACAACCACCCTGATTGTATTCCTATTCAAACGTTCAAGCTTCAAGCTCAGAGCAGCACTGATCTCACCCGGACGACTGTCCTCGTTTCTTCCAACTCTCTCATCTTCAGTTCGCCGTCCGATTCGGAGTCCTTCACACAAGTTCTGGCTGTCGGTAAAGACGCCGTACTCAGTCCCCTCTACGCTCGCGTCGATAGGCGCGTTGCTGCCGCACTGGAGCGTTGTCTAAGCCTGCGAATTGGAAACCACAAGACTTCCACCCGGTTGGGAAGCACCTTTCCGGCGGGACTGCATTTGATTTTTGCTGCTTTATTGGTGCTACGTAAGTGAGAATCTGCTGCCTTTTTATCATGTGCATTCTTAAGGTATATTTCTAGTGTACGAAGTGAAGTATCTGTAGGACAAATAAAAAGCGCAGATGACACGATTTGTTCTAAAACTGTCTAGTCCCTCTTCCAAGCCCGTTTGCGAAAATGACGCTTGAAGGACTAAAGACGGCCATTTCGCGTAATACCGTCTCCCCGACATCACCTTTGAACAACAGGATATGTCGGAGGAAATTCTTCGCCGCCTCCGCGCCTTTCTCTGAAAATCCACCTGGTACGGGTTACCGGCCCGAGTCTTTAAATCATTGTCGTCGTCTTCTGGAAGCCAGCCCAACAAAAAAAACTAGACAAAGAACCTCGGCATTTTAGACGTAGCCCTCTCCCGGACCTTCCGCCACCTCCTGGTCATCCCGGTCAGCCCACCAACATCATTTCGGAAAGGCAGAGAACGTAACGTACGATGTTGTGCCATGGTTGAGAATGGCTTGACAGAGCCAGGTAGCTGTCATGTTGTTGCCCCGTAAATCCCTTGTCAGAATATGTCCTGTCGAGCACAATTGATGATGAGAACGAGGACAAGACAATATGACGACGCACCCAAAAAGCTCGCTCCTGGCCGCCGAGGAATAGTCTTCCTGCAGTGTTCGATCATGACGCTCCTCCTTTAATACACCCGCACTGGATGATGGAGCGGTGAGGAGGTCGCGGCGCAGAGGCCATGCTGACGCTCTCAAAGCCAAGAGGAGCGCGAGGAGCGATGGGAGGAGTCGCAGAAGCATGACGGCTGCGGACACTGGGAAAGTTCAGCCTGAGGGCATCTACTTATGTATTATTAGGTGGGAGAAATAGTCGTCAACGAATCCAGGGCTCGGCGATCATGGACGACAAGCTCACCGTCACCACCCCTGGAGACGCAGTGCATGTTACGCAAGACCAGATGACTATCATTGAATGATGGCCAGCATAAGAGGAGAATCAGGGCAACCCTTGAACGTCTATTTAACATCGACACCGCATGTTGAAACGTGCCGCATGTGACGGAATACACTGAATAGGAAGGATGAATGCTTATTGCGTAACAGTTTAATATCATGCTGGAGGGAATTCGTCGTCCCTTGGTGTATAGTGCTTCATCTTCTACTGAACCCTGACACACAGTTACACTAGAAACTTGAACGCTTGAGATTGGAGAAGGCGACGGAAGAGAGTTCAATGTAATGTCAGAGAAGATTTTTAGTTTCCCGAGTCGGGGAACGTCCTCGTAACCGAAGCCCTAAGTTTCTCCGGTGTTTCTTCGAGGTACTACCTCAAAAATATCCATTGCGGACTAACGGTCCGGGGTCCCTTTGCGACATGCTGTAGCCAGTAACCAGTTAGGGGGATTCCGTTACCTACAAAAATTCCAATTCAACTTTAACTGATTCCCTCCCTACAGAGCAGAAACGTCCAGGGGGTCTGCATTATTCTTTGGGAGACATGACTCTCGACACTATTGCCTTTACGTGTGTAAATATTGAGTTTTTAAAATTATGTTCTACCGACATTTTGTCATTCGACCTTCAAATACGTATCACAAGAGGTTCATAATGCTCCGGACTGGAAGAGCACACTAGATGCATGCCTAGATTTCTTTTCGGCTTTAGACGGGTTAAAATCCGACGCCCACCCGTTCGGCACGTGATCGCTCTGTTTCTATTTTCGAACCACACGTATTCACTCCATCCGCTCCGGAGAGGACTTCCTAGACGATCATCGCCTCGCATACGGAAGAGCATCTGGCAGTGCTCAAATCTACCTGTATTGTTACTCATATATTCATACCGATTAGGCTCACATAGATCATCCCTGCAAATAAGAGCAGTGGATGAATATGGAATTTCGAGCTTGTAGGACCTATAAGCCTGGTCATATGATTACAATACATGTTCAAACATAAGTCACAAAGAAGAAGACGGAGAGGATCCAGCCATAAACATAAACCTAGTCTCCTGTTAACACACCCTTCACCCCCCCGCTCTGAGTCCTCCCCCCATCTCTTCCCCTACTATTGTTCATCTTCAAGCTCAAGCCCATCGACTGCCTCCGCTGCCGTTCATGCGAGATATCCCCTCGCACGCCTTCCTCCCCGCCAGGCGCCGACGGGAAGCTCACCATCGGGACAGGCACTGGAACCTGCTTCTTCTTCCCCTTTTTCTTTGCTGGCGGAAGGGGAGGCGGCGGCATAACTGTAGGTGTAAGCACAGGATCGACCCACTCCTCATCATCTTCCATGTCGTCGAGCGCTTCGACAAACGCTCCGCCCTCCTCTGCTTTGGGTCGTTCATGAGGCTTGTTCGAACCTGGGGGGTCGGGAAACTCAAACTTCGATCCTGGACCAGGCGTTATCGGATCAACAGGATCCTCCTCAGTATCCAGCTCGTCGCTCTTGGTCCTCGAGGTCGACGCGCTGCTGTGATGTGCACTCGAGGTCGAGGCGGACCGTGTCTCCAACTCCCGGTCCTCGTCGTCATCCTCCTCCTCCATATCCATATCCATATCATCTGGATCTGAGATACTTTCCAGTCCCATGTTATCATCGGAATCAGAAGGCCATGTTGGTGGTTCATCTTGGACAGAAAATATCGTACGAGGTAGCTGCATGTGATATCAGAGACAGTATCCAAAAGAGAAAAAATGGAACTCACATCACCGACTCTGCTCCTAAAGTCAACCCAATCGGCCTCGTCTTTGCACAAGAAGCCTATCAACATGCTCGGGTCCAGCCCACTTAATGGCATCTTCCGAACACGCTCGCAGTGGAACGTCTTCAGCTCCGCTGCGCTGTAGGCGTTCACATAATGCTCTTGCAACCGGTCCAAATTTCCTTCCGTCGTGCTTTCACTCTGGTCCATCTCTGACGGACTCTGCATCTGGTTCGATGATGACGACGACGACCCGGATTCTGAAAATTGATGCTGCAAGGGCGACGGCGATGTCGGTGCATGATAAGAAAATGTCGAGGATCCAGTACGAATTGACGAGGAAGGTGACGTAGGCGCACGTTGGTGACCTGTTGACGACCCCGTTGACGATGAACCTCTCTTGGCTCTCCTCCGATGATCTGCTTCGATGTCCGGAGAGCCTGCTTCTGTAGGCAGTCTCAGCGGGATAGCCGGTCTCGCATGATGAGGATCCAAATAAAATAGGTTGTCGGCCTGTGAACCCACGAAATAATATGACGAACTCGGGCGGCCACCAGCAATGCCGACAGATTGGGGGAAAGTATAGAGTAACTTGGGTGTGGAGTTAGTAGCGAAATCGGATACAGAGAAGAACAAAAGGAGAACATACTTTTATGGTATCATAATAAATAGGATTAACCCCATCCAACCCGAGTCGTATACCCAATAAAAGTAGAACAGGCCTGTCACCCCAGTGCGCAAGAACTTTGCCATGATATCTTGGGCGAGAGCTGTATGATGCCTGAAATACATCAGTTTGGAAAAGCACCCCATCGGTGCCCACAGACACGCCTAGCCCCGATTCTGGAAAGGCCCGAACCAAAGCCCTATATCATGCTATATTAGACAGCTTGAACAACTGAAAACAACAATTGTCACATACTTGATGGCACCGGCAGCAGTACTGGGCCCAAACCACTGTCCAACATCCTTCCCTAACTCCTTACCCGCCAACGCCATTCGATGAACACTGAAGGGAGCTTCAGGAGCCGGTGTATCCAAGAACCATGTTATAATCTGTACGTAGGTCGCATAGTCCGCTGTGTGCACGGGATGTGGCGGTCTCCGCCAATCTGTCGGACAAAGTTCGATCAGGGCTCCAGAAGTCAAAAAGTCAGAAAGGTACTCACCACGTCCCAAATGAAGATGAACCAGAGCATTGGCCAACAGACTTTGGCCAGTCCGTAACATGCACCCCCAACCGGAGTCACTCGTCCAACCCTTCTCTCCGCCCACCATAGATCCCCAATTCCACTTTTTCACTGTCGCCGTGGGACTACTAGTACTAGAGTCCGATTGGTATGAATTGTACTCAGCGTTTAGGTCGCCGAGACGCCCGTCTCTTATCGGGGTAAAGTGCGAGCGGTACGTCAACCAAACTTGGGAAGTGAAGTCAGTGTAGAAAACCGGAGGCCAATTAGCGCCGGGGTGCCTGGCAGGTTGCGAGGCAGTCAGAGAGACATCAAGAGACGAATTGGACGATGTTGAAGAACGAAAAGAGGGAGAGTGGCGGCGAGAGTCGATTGAGCTGCGTCGCCCGACGGTCGATGGTGCTGGGTATGCAGATGGTGGTGGTGGCTCATAGCCCGGATGTTGGACGCCCAATAGCCAGATGGCGTCGGTGCATTTGTCAGGAGTGGCGTCGCTATCGAGGAGGTAACGCATAGCTTTGTCAATGTGCCCTTTCCCGTGCTTTGCCACATTAAGCAAAGCGGAGGTACCAGAGACTTTGTTCGGAGGAGAAGTTCCAGGCGCCCCGGTATTGGGAGCGGAGTGATGAGAGAGAATTGTGGGTAGGGAAAGATCGGTAGTTGAAGAAGAATTGAAGGTATGCGCAAACCAGCCTGACAGCCGGTTGGGGAGGTCGCTCATTCGGGAAGATGAAGGAGAACTCGGGACATAAAGCGAGGGGCCATTATACTGTATATCTGAGCTTCCTGGTCGCTCAGAACGTGTCCGGGAACGTGGTATGTTCACAGGTTCGACAATGACCGGTGTTTCTTCCCGCTCGACAGCCGATTCAGGCATTGACTCCTTCTCCCTCTCCCTCTCTTTTCCACTTCCTAGGAATTTTCCAGACTTTCTCGAGTGATGAGAATGCTTCGACGACGAAGGAGGAGGCTCTGCTGAGGAAATCGAGGTAGGACTGTCGCCATCCTGGCCACTAATCGGATCAGTTCCGGATTTCGACCTATCTCGACTGGATGGTTTGTGCAGGAACTTGGGAAGCTTTGGACCATGATGTGCAGCAGAAGACGATGGAGATGTGTGGCGCGAGTTCTTGTTTGACATGAATCAAATTCTAAACTCCAAATGTCAATTCTCAAGGTAACATAAACGTTTGGCGCAGGTAGACTCACCGTGAGCGTGAGCTAGGCGTAGTCTGTGTTGTCGGGATCCACTTCGGGTACAGAAACCTGCTAGTAAAATGCCACATTAATATTACACAGAGGTCGCACAGATGAAGCTCTCACATGCTACAACAGAGATGGAATTGGACGTGAACGCTGCAAATATTCGATGAGCTTGATACGACTGCCGCCTGATGGCGAGCTGCAGGAATTCTACTGTACCTGGAACAAAAATATACGGAACGTCAACCGACTCCTGGTCCTATTCAGACTTCTGGGGAGGTCGACGACGAGGTAGAACGAAGTAATATGGACGAAGGACAGAGGTGTGACAAAATTGTGACGTGACATCACTTTGCCTATGACAAAATACGGACAAATACTGACGTCACTGAGACAGGGAGATCAAAGCGGATCCTCTCAACGATCCACTAACGACGTCCAAGGTCACGAAGCCCAATGCAATATTGCAGAACAAGGGGCGCAATCTCCAAGATTTAACACTACTAAGAAATTTTAGTTCTCAGCTCAGCCAGCCAGCAGCACCGGTCATCAGGAATACACAAGTCGTCGGACAGCTTTCTCTCAGAATTTCAAAGGCGGCTCACTTGCCCCTCATACTTTTCAAATCAAACGGGTTTTGCCGTCCTAACAAGTCTTCGGAAATCTAGTACGCAGCATTCACTTGCTTCCTGTAAAGGGATCGTAGGCTTGAGCAGACCTCTATGTTTCGTCCGTCAACCTCCAACTTTTAAGTACTACTTGCGCCTATAGAGTGGCATTCGAATTTGATGGGATCTCGGGGAGAAGAATAGTGTGTCTGAATCTTAATCAGCTTCTTACCTTACCAACATGCCATCACTTCTGCCTACCAAGTTCTTCCTATTGCGCTAGCTGTATTTGTCTGAGAGGGATATCCCTGATCCGGTGACTGTCCAAGACAGTTTACGTCCGCAAGTCGACCATCGAACACTCCTACCTTATGAGCTGATCTTTAGAGGCAGGCATCCTGCAACAGTTTGCGCCATATAGGTGTGTCTTTAATGAGCTCGACCGCGCCGGATCTTGACATTCACGACAGCACGAATTTGGATTCCTCAGTATGGGACTCACAAAATGTCGATTCGATACATCCGGAGGGAAGCTTATATATCAAGCAAGATCATAGGTACATGCGAGGTTTTTAAAAACACAGATGATAGCGATCATTGTTTCACTTCCAGTTGTAAGAGTGATGGCACGAAATTGCCATGACATTTGGGATCGTTAGGTCGAGAGAGCATGCGTACGCAGACTTTGAATAGGCAGCTTTTGATTGCCAGTACAAAGCACCCTTGAACATTTCGGCAATCACGGTCTTCTTTCATGTTCGGAACTCTTGCCCTCTTCCATGTGAATCAGGCCGCTCGCCATTTAAATTTATAAAAGATGGCATACGGATCGTCGTTACAGAAAATGCAGATATAAAGTATCTGTATCCTCTGGACGTCTAGGAAGGCCTTTACCTTTTCCGATTCGTACGCTTATGGCGGCAGCAACACATTACCTTCGAATTTTTTGCTGGAAGAAGGCTCCAAGGGTTTAGAAAAAATAACATCGGAGTGCAGCGTGAGAAGATACCAGCTTGTCCATCTGGTCCGAGCTTAGAAGACATGGTCTGGAACCCAGATCAAGAACTCTGAAAGTCGGCTCCGCGTTTCGAAGGGAAAACATTCATGGACAATGCCGTCAATAAGAAACTTTCCGGGATGAGCTCAAGCACCCGAATTGTTGCAACGTACAATGGCTACTACTGGTACACAGCCCTCACACCAAAACAACGGTTCTTTGAGGATCGTATGAACAATCTCGAGCTCGCAAGAATGCTACATTTTGGTCCAGGTTCCATGTCGAGTCGAAGATGGAAAAATCACCATTGATTTATCACGAGGATTATGCATATGCATTTCCATCTTCTTTTCGCGTGCGATGATAAATCCACGCGTGTCGAAAGAGTCCAAGTACCAGGCCAATAGAAAACCATACTTGCCTTCAAGGCTCCGACCTTTTCAAGTGGTGACATGTGTTGGCCGTGTAAAACAGGGTTCGGACCGACCATCCGACTAAAGGCGTTGAAGGATGACAAATCAATTCTTCCTTCTTCCGTCCATGTCATTCTCATTATTTCGCCTGACTGCCTCGCGTATCTCTTACCTTCGCCGACAGTTTTCAAGTTCAATGGCTACCACCAGCACAGTCACTGATTCATCTTCGAAACCGTCAGGGCCCATCGAAACCTCCATACGAGAAAAGGTTCTCTCTTTTTGTTGAACGCGAAACAACATCTTAGGTATTATCTAGCTGACGACCCTCCTCCAACCGACCTCGTTATTCATAACCAACGATTCCTGGCAGGTAGGTGACTCTTTGGCTCGTTGTCATCTGTTGTCTAATCTAAAATCGAAATGTGACTTTGCCCTTCTGAACAATCTATCTGAACGTGCATTCGGAAGCATCGTCACCACGCCGCCATGCGTGACCACAAATCCGAAGGGGAACCGGAAACTCGTGCGTCTTTTATAGATCTTCAGGTCAATATCTTCAACATGTCCCATTTTTGTAGATTTCACGATAGACGTCACGTCGAACGCCTTTGAAGGCAAGGTACGGAGCACAGTTCCACGAACAGCTACATAATCTAATTTTACACATAGAGCACAATGCAACGCCATCGCCTAATTTACTCTGCTCTGTCAACGGAGCTTGCAGAAGGGTTGCACTCGCTCAGTTTGAAAACTAGGTCACAAACGGAGGCTGAGAAGCAGGTAGTTATATAGTAGGCTCGGACTGGGAGAAATTCAATATCGTTTTGGTATCGAAGCTTGGCTTCCAATGATAGCAAATATCAGGAAGAGCGTACTTTCAACTAACAATTTGTTGTGTCACCGCTGCGTTTATTGGAACACTCGTACGCTGGATAACAAAACCTATCATCCGCAGGGACGATATACTCATCCTCTGCCATTCTAGCGAGAAGGTTCTTATTAGATACGCTGTTTAAGATATAAGCATACGGGTATACGAGATGGACATACTTCAACACATCTCTACTAATACAGCCCAGAAGTAAACTGCTCCTACTGACCTCTGCTTGCTCGAGGAGTGGGATGTAACCAGCTATAACGAGGGCCTTAGAGACCACCCTCAATTTGATTGCAACATGTGAACAGCTGTCATAGGCTTTTGATAGGTGAGTGGTGGGGGTAGTGGTGGTTCGAAATGTATGAGTGAGTTGCAGGAGAGGTGGTTAGGAGAGGGGGTGATGAATGCATAAATATGCCAATTGTAGCTGTGCTCATGGAGCAGGTTGTTTTCAAATGTAAATGGTTCAAGTTTTTGAAAACCAACATCTGAGAGCTTATATGATAGAGTCTGAGAGTCTGAGAGATGCATAAAATATTGCCCCTCCAGCTCTAGCAGAGTGGCCACTGAAATCTCTGTCTAATATTGTGAAGAATTTCTTATTGAACCAATTTCATGATGGAATGTCACTATTTTCATGGATGAAGAGTGGAGCACATGGGCCATGAAGATGATCTCAACATTTGATGTATTGTGATAGGAGATAAACAGAGTCTGCAAGCTCCTGTCATGTGAGTAGGATATTGGTATCATGGTAGAAGGGGTCAGATTTATTGTAGGGAAGGTGGTATTGAGCATCATTCTTTCAGAGGACAAGCAAAGAACATTTGATTATTTTGCAAAAGTCCTGAAGTGTTACAATTTTTCCACCTTTGCTCTTTTTTCATGAATTAACCCCTATTTATGCTGAGTCAGAGCATCTAAGACAAGTGCTTAAAACTGTGGGAGAGGCTTAGTCATCATAACAAGCCAATCCATCATTGTTCTCTGATACAGTGACCAACCCTTGACAATACACAATCAACCTTTTGTATACAGTAGTGATGTCTAAGGACAATGGGCACAAGGACTTTGAGACATACAATAGGCAGTTATATATTTAACTTTATCATGTACAGCATATAAGTAGGCTCACTCTCACTGGTAATCTCCAGCTTTAAGCTAAAGTTTATTACTACACCATTTTACTCTCAAGCCTATTCCAAGACCTTGCAATCACACTGATCAGTATTTATATCAGTGAACTCAGATGTTTCACTCAAAATGCAAAGTGACATCAGTTTATCATGTGTCTATGTTCACATGAAGCTTGGGTCTAACAATTAGCTCAAAGCTTCAACATTCTCTTTCTTCACACATAATTAGGCCTGAAAGAAACTGAATGTCCTTGATCAACCCATCATCTTTGAACTCCTTGCTTCTATCATCAGAACCTTGTTAGGCTTGCTGGTTATCATCCAGCTTTACCAAGAAAGACAATCAATAACTGCTTGGGCAGTCAGACACTACTAAGAATTTCAGAATATCTGCCAAATCCTCAGAAATGTCACATCTGACCTCCCTCTCCATGACATCCCAGTCTTTCTCTGAACTTTTGTCCAGCCCATGATAGAAACCATACTCCAAGCTGAGTCTCAGAGAATGGATCTGCAGAGCCCTATATAAGAAGAAAGACATACCTATCTCCCACAGTCCCCAAGAAACAACAGCAGAAACAGCAACCCTCACCTCACAGGGTTCAGAAACCTGTGAGTCTCACTGCCAGTCTCTAATCATGAGGACAAGAACCTCTTCAATGACTTCTTTGACAACACACCCTCCAACAATCTCTCCTCTCCATATAGAGGGCTTGAAAACATCACTAGGAACTCTTTTGATGCCATTAGAGTGGCTCCAAGACTCCAACCTGTTTTGCCCATACACTCTGGATATGACTCTCTCTACACTACCCTGCAGTCCAGTCTCCACCTACAGTCAGAAACAGAGTTCACTCCAGACATGGAGTCAGACAGAGAATATATGAGCTGGAAACCAACCTATAAAGACATCATCAACTAATATTCCCAAGACTTTACTGAAGAAGAGCTCCATGCAGCCAGTGAAGGGGTTTTTGAGGATCTTGACTGAGCAGAAGTCAAGCAGGCATGGAGGGAGACCCTCCACTATAACAAGTTATATGATATACAGTATTGTCAGTGACAGCAAAAGCTTGAAGCCACTGAGTGGAGCACTTTCAGCTCTCATGCCCTGAACCTACACACCAATAGGACCCACTCTCCTTTCAGAGAGTCTAGCACTCACCCAACTGAAGACACTGACCTCTGAGTAGGATCCTACAGTCCTGTCACCTCCAGCAAGATCAATAAAAGAGAGAATGGTGACAGAATACCATATCCCTCTCTGATAAACTCTTAGCCCCAGAGAAGCTATGAGAGGAAACTCCCATTTCCCTCTCTGAGTGCTCAGCATTATAGACACTGACACCATCACCTCTGACACTAACTCTATACTTGATATCTATAGGCTACAAATTCTCCTCAATGCCCATATCCCTGATCAAGGCCTCTAGTAGTTTCTAAAAGAAAGAGTTGCAAAACTCTTCTTTAATCTCTGATTCTATGCAAACTTCCACATCTATAGCCAAGACCTGAAGGAGGCATGAGTGCAAGGAGGCCATAGATACAACTCCAGCATTAGAGTCTCCCTCTTCCAGCCTTCTTCTCCAACCAACATTGCCAGATCCAGCAATTGCATTGATGACCAGCTCTCCAGCCACAATTTGGCCTCTGGAGCCAGTTATCTACAATCCATGCAACAATTCCCTTGTTGAGGACTGTTATGATTTTTCTTATTTTCTTTTCTTTTTCCTTGATTTATTTAGGATTGACCTCTATTTCTGCTTAGTCAGAGCATCTAGACTTGGGCACTTAAGATCATGGGAGTGCTTAGTCAGCAGCACTGCCCAGATTCTACTGTGCTGCTATGAGCCTCACAGCAGCACAATGACAGATGCATCTCTTTTGTCATTGTGCAGCAGTAACAGCAGTAACAGCTCAACAGCAGAACAATACTTTTTGTAGGTATCTTAGCAATGTTAGACAAAATGCTACACAGCACCAGTGAAGACAATTAAGTAGTTATATTCTTAGAATGATAAGGATTTAGTATTTAAGTAGTGTAGCTCTCGCTGTAGTAATCTCAGCTTCAAGCTAAAGTTTATTCTTCATCATCTTATCTTGAGTGACTTGCAAAGCACCTTGATCATACAGCACCAACAATGCATCAGTGAACTTAATTGTTTTATCCAAAGTGTGAGGTAGCAGTCATTTATTATGTGTTATTGGTCATATGGAATTTGAGCTTAACAATTAGCTCAAAGCTTCTGGCTTTTCTTTCTCAAGCCCAATTGTGCTGAAAAACTGAATGTCCCCCTGTGCTTAATCCTTCTGACTCAAACTTCACTCACAAGTTTTTCAAACTCTTTGCTTCTATCATTGGAACTTTGATAGACTTATTGGTGATCATACAGCTGTGCTGTAGATGCCAATCAATCACTGCCTGAGCTATTTGCTATTATTAAGAGTTTCAATATATCAGAACAATCCTCTGTAATGTCACACTAGACCTCCCCCTCTATGACATCCCTGCCTCTGTCCAACAGTCCTTTTGACCTCTGGAAGGACCCTAATCTGAAACCATCTCTGAGAGCCCAATTAAAGGGTGTTCTAGAAAAGAGGAGAAGGAGCAGCAGCACACATACCTCCTGTGACCTCTAATGGCAGTCATTTGAGACTCTAGAAACCCTTGGACTACAGAGTTTTGACAACTCAGATCTGACACCCCCATCTCGTCCTCTGAGCATGACAATGATAGCATCACAACAAGAACAACAACCTCTATCTCTAGCACCAGCATTGGGCACCTTGCTAGAGATTCTCTTGATGCTATATGAGTGGCTCAAGAGGCTAGAAGTACTAGAGGCTCTAGGTCCTGACACACTACATCAGTATAAAATAAAAACATTGACTACAGATTAGGGGCTGATAATAATCTCTATTTCAATGATGATAGCAATGGGTGCCACTGGTGGCACACCACTGCCTGAAAAGCAGACAGACTGGAGCAGCACATGTCTAGCTGTGTTATAAGCAGAACAAGCCACATATGAACATCATTGCATGTATCACAACAAGCTGACACTGTCAGTCCAGTTCTCTCCTGAGAGGACCAAGTTTGATATGCCAATACCATTGCCAAGTACCTCCAGGAGCAGGCACATATTGACAATGAGATCATGAGAGAGAATACCCTCTTCAGGAGGTACCTCTGAGCACAAGAGGCAGCAGACCAGAGGAGAGATTCAGGAGGCTCCAGAACTAATATGCTCATTGGTATCACCACCAACAGCATATCTGACACTCTGTTCTAGGAATCTAGCACTTCTGCCACTGAGCCCAATCTCTGGGCAGAACCCACCAAAGAAGTCATCCACATGGATGACATCCACTAAAGGGTGTTGCTTGATCTCAATAATGACTGCTCACTATCTTATGGAACCAATACCATTGCAGAAACTGATAATATCCCCATCAGAGGAGATGGGATATCAGCAGACCAAGAAACCATCAGGGGAGATGATGAGAGCATTGACTCCATTAGAGACATCAGGAGGTTTCTTGATGAGAACTTTGCTGCTCTTTTTCTCAACCTATGGTTCTACTAAAACTTCTGCTGGTATTGCAGAGCAATGGTGGCAGCAGCAGAAAGAGAAGGAGTCAAGGAGCAGCAGGAGCAGTCTGAGTAGCAGCCTACTCCTCAATCTGGATCTGATGATACCAAACTCAGCATGCAGCCCCAGCATGGTCATTCCAGAGATCTATGACTCATGCAACAGTTCTCTCTTTGAGAGAGACATAGGTGAGACCAACAGTGAGAATACAAATGACAAGAGGGAAGAGAATCCCAACAAGAAAGTCAAGGATCCTCAAACTGA